AATTTTTAATAATAATTATTTTTATCAATAAAATTGCACAATATAATTAGATAACTACCATACTGTTATTATTTTTTAAACTGAAAATATACTTTTATCTGGTATAAATCTGAAAAATATTTACAATTTTTTTTATTTTAATGTGGCATACATTATTTAAAATGTAATAGATACATTTAAGGTCTCATCAACTATCTTGCTTAAACTGACTTCCTGAAAAACACCTTCATAATAGTCTTATTTATTAATATTTAGTAGGTACACACTTCTAAAATCCGTAATGCACACTTCCAATTCCGGAATACACACATTGTGTCGGGGTTCACCAAAAAATATGGGCTGTTATGTATAAATGATTATAAGATGTAAGTGTCAGACGAGAGTCACGATAAAGGTAATTAAATTACCTTTAAATTACCTTTAATTAAGTTAAATAATAAAGGTAAACACACTGAGCGATTCGAACGCACGTCTACAAATATTATTAAAACTATTATAAAATGCTGGAAATACATTTTAAATTTGGTGGTAGGGGAGGGGTAAAGGGTAAACTCTCAAAGCCTTTCTTATCTAACCAGCCCAAAAAAGTTTTTATTCCCTGCCATTTAAAAATCCTGGCTACGACACGGCAAACACATATGCACTAAACATGCATTAACTTTTTTAAACTTTTCAAAAATTGTTTATATATGTATTGCTATTCGTGTAGTACGATACTTACTGGTGAATTGTTATCAACAACATGATTTGATTGAAAAAAGCGATTGAAGTTCATGATTTTCATATTTATTTTATCGATATTATTATACTTTGATTTTGTTTTATTGCAGAAACCTGTGACTCGAGTCTCAAAGATAATAATATAATACTATCATAATAGTCATTAAGATAGCTGGGTAAATATCTACCAAGAAAACGAAAACTTATATCTAGAAATAATGTTATTTACTTCAGTATGTGTTCACTTCTCCGCGTATGTGTTTTTCAGTGATTATGTTGTTTTATTTGATTTTTAATTTTTTCATTTTAACATATTAGAAAGAAATTATATTATTATAAATATTATTTATTTGTACGGGCATATATATATATATAATGAAGAAACATATGTTAACTATGATCTTACATTTTGATAAAATAAGAAAATATTGATCGTAATTATTACGATATATCTTAATATATAACATAAAAGAAAATTTTATAAAATGCATTTGTGTACAAAATCAGATACAAAAATTTTCTTTGTCTTAGCATAAAACATATTTGTTTCTTACTATGCTATTTTTGCGATAGTGTAAAATCAAATACGCAAACGCTATAAGTTATTTGCAGTGTAACTTGTAACAGTTTTTGATCGATGGCATTTTATATTTTATGGCGAGTAAGCTTACTACACGAATACCTTGTGTACATATGTAAAAACCCTCAAAATATGCGAAATATAATTTAATCTCTCAAATTAAATAATCATTATTATTTACCAATTTGTGCATCAAAATGTTGAATAACTTTTTTCCTTGCTTCCATTTTATCCAGTATATTTTTTGATTTTCTGTTGTATACAATAATATAACTTTTATCTTTATGATTAGCTATTCCATCAATGGTATTAACTAAAAAAAAAAAATATTACAGAAGGATGTATAATAATTTAAATTATTTTTAATTTTGTTTCTGTATTTATTACTGTATTTATGAGTGGGAATACAGTATCACCACTGAACATTTCATTTTCGTCTACATCAGCAAGTACATTTTTACTTAAATTGTTTGATCATATTTTTTATGACCAAACAGATTCATCCATTCGTTTTAAAAGAACAGTTGGTTCTTTGTTTAATATTTTTTTAATTAAAATTACAATCTCACGATCTTTGTTCAAAAATGCTGATATTTCCTATAAATTATGAAATTATGATTTAAATAAATTAGTGAACACTTGACATTACACAAATTTTATGTGCAAATTATAATGTTTATCGTTTATTGAAGATTGTTAACAATACCGTTTTATACGTATGCGGCGTATAGGTTTCTTTATGACTGATTGTTGATATGGTGTTTTGTTTTAAACATTGTTGAAATATTTTCGGTCGGCATTTATTGTTTGTATTCGACGTTCATTTTTAATCTAACGCTGTAATATAACATCTAACTATTGGTAACTAAGATTAGATCGACGATCAACCCGCGCCACTGCTACAATAACTACTAACCTGTCAAACCTCTTTGTATTTGTTCCACTCGATAATTAAATTTATATTTGAAATCATAATACGAATACTCACCACCAAAATTACCTTTCTGCCATCCAATTAACTGATTATCTTTCGAGTCGGTGCGCGTGACATAATGTCATCGGGGTTTTCCACCGTGTTCACGAAGATTTTAATTAGAATTTATTTCATTATTTTTCAGCAGTCGGTTTGTCGCAATGAACAGACACGACTGCCGGTGTCAGTTTTTAATATTTTGGCACCCTCATTAACAATTCAATTAAAACCGGCACAAACGATGGAACGAAAAACGTCTGCGCCAGTAATCTTATTGTTATGTTTAATACATCACGAGTCTCGCACTTATGCAGTCATCAACGACGAACAAAATAAATCAAATATATATTTGACTAGTTTTAATTCTGTTTCTTCAAAATGAAAATATGGCAATTCATAAAGATGTTGCAAACCTCTAATATATGTAACGAAATAGCTAGTATGATACCGCATGATATCAGGTGCATTTCGTATCTTGTGTGCGTCCACTAGCCTACCGGACTAATTTTAAAAGTGCATTTTCACGGAACGTTCTCCGCATCGTTGGTCAGAAATAGCTGGTCGTACACCCACGCATACTAATGTCCGTACAAATGCACTAACCCGATTAAAAATGAGGCGATTAAAAAAAAAATGTTCACGGTATATTAAAAATTTGTGCCGATCTGGAGAAAATGCTACTTTAGTATCTCTGCTAATCCAGCCATGTGCTTACAAATAATTACGTTATAAGTCGTATGTAAAATAATTTGTAGTTGGGTGCACCTGGTGAAGTATTTGACCTAGGGCCACGGTCCAGGTAGGAGGCTGCGAGGGGTGGCATGATTGGCCCGTCGCGCTCAACTTCAGGCGCCTTTTATAGTCGTTACATTCCGTGGGGGGGAAAAAAAAAATTAATACCAATACTTGATACAAGAATCAAAAATTGTTTGCATTACCGATCTTATGCCGGGTCCGCACAGAGTTGACACAAAAACAGAATAAAAATAAAACACAAACTCAATTTTTTTTTAGTTTGAAATAAAACAGAAAAAAACATGTATCCATACTGAGTTGAGTAAAAAATTAAACAAAAAATGAACCAAGTTCAAACACTTTCTTTGTGTTTTATTTTTGTTTATAACTACCTATACAGAAAAAAATCTGTCATTTTCATCATCAATCGCGGTCATTCAGTCTAGAGTATCCGAGTTCGAGCAGTTCAAGAAGTTCAGTGTTCGTTATTTTGGTTGTTATTTTCTAAAATTTTCTTTGTAGTTACTACAAATTAAAATGAGGAAAATGAAATAAAATATTGAAAACGTTAAAGATTTTTTAGTACTAAGTGCTGAATATATTTATTTACAAGAAAAAAAGAAGTAAATAATATAAAACGTTATTGGGTTAGGCCAACAAAAACCTTTTGATGTTTACCGAAAGCGCTAGGAACACGATTTTGTTTTTAAAAATGTTTTGATTTTGTCGAAGAACACAAAGTTTCTATTTTGTTTTAATTTTATTTTCTCTGTGTGGACCCAGCATTACATTGAACACTGCAGAGTTATCACATTAGTGGCGCAATATTGAAAATTCTATTGTATTGTTTTAGCACTCAAACCGATTCATTTATGTTTTCGTCCGTATTATTTTTGAGTATTTATAAATTGTACACACTGTTACAAGATTTTCATTAATGATGTATGATATTGAATTTCTGATGTATCCCCTGTCAAATATTTTAATGTATATTATTTATGTGTATTATTATATCGATCACAATCGAGACAGACCGTCCCGATAAACAAATTACGTTGAAGACGTATATTTTACCCAATATTTTACCCGTCATATTACTAATCCCGACAGTGACGTTCAAACGAATTTTTACTGTATTTAATAGGTGGTAATCTAATGAGGTACATACGAAACAATATTTTTAGACATTTATTGGTAACAAACGCCTTATTTGAGTTCGGTATAGAAAATACATCAGCATACTGAATAGAAAAAGTTATTAAACAAATAATATTATATATTGTTCAGATAAAAAATATTGTTCCTAATATGTAATTATTAATAATTATTAATCAATAAACAAATTCATTATTTGGCTTAAAAATTGTGCATTGTAGATATATTTATTTTATAACTATGATTTGCATTTATCAACTGTTATTATTTGTTAATTTACTATATTTTACATGTATTTAATTAAAATGTTTATGTAATCGAGGATTTTGAACTATCGAAAAAGTTGTTTTTTATAACTTTCGAAATTGTTTGATAGGATTTCCTTTAATTAACAAGTATGTTAAAAATGTTATATATTTTTAAATTATTTATCGTAGGTAAAGCCTTCAATATACTGATTCAGTTATCGATTACTGAGAAATTTTTTTGTATAATCATATATTTCAATTTTTTCTTTTATTCATATAAAATAATAAAATAAATTCGAAAACTTTTCTCTTCATTTTCTCTGCATATAACATTTAAATATACCGTGATAACCTTGGATAAACTTACTTTATATAAAACCAACGAAATTTAATTAAATTATTGGCATTTTTTTACAGTATAAAATAAAGTGAATACTTTTTGTGTTATTGTAATGTATTATTGTTTACACGTGAAACAACGAGTAGAGATATTTTGTGTTTAGATTTCTGTGGTACACTTTAATTATTACCATGTAAGTTTACTCACTTGTCGTGTAAATTTTATCGTGTTTAAATATTTTCAGGTGTCATGTTTAGAATCATAAATCTTGAGAGATTGACAAAATTGTATGCAAAATTTTCAATTCCTGAACTATTACTAGATCATGGTATCGAAAACAATCAATTGGTGATTCCAGAAAAAGATTTGAAAATAAATTTAAGTCAGCAAATGACGAAAAAAGGAAATTTTACACCCCTATGGTATTATGATAATACTGAATTCAATGATAAGAACGCTGATGAATATATTCAGAAAAACCTTTATAATGGTGTATCTGCAACTGTTTACTTGCCTGTTAATTCTAATGATGAAAGTTCTAAAACTTACGATTGGGTTGATGCAAATATAATTGATTATAATTCTAAATCAAAAATGTATTCAGCTATCCTGTCGAATAATAACTCCACCGAATTATATTCAGAAGTGCCTAGGACACAAATACATTTTAGAGGAGAAGACCCTAGAGAATTTATAAAACGAATTAAGGAAGCAATTTTGAGACGAGATTTTTGCGAAAAGATTATGTTGCAAGTTATACGATAATAATTTATTACTTTTCGTTAAGATTTAAATTTAATAATAAACAGTTATAATAAATGAAAACAACAATGGTTGATAATACAGTTTTAAAATTAGTAAAATAGTGATTGCAATAGAGTAATTTAATAAATGTTTATAATATTTATTCTAAATATTCCCTGTCATTCCACATAATTACATATGTACCACGTCAATTAAGCTATTAATAGCTTAGGCCAATATGGCTACTTTCTTATACAAACTCTTGAACTGTCTAAAATGGAATTTAAAAAAATATTTTACAACAAATATTTATGTAAAAAGAACTCCTTTCCGTATATATACATTTATTTATATAAATCAATAAATAAATATTATAACTAAAGTAAACTTTTTGTCATAGTTAACTGCCTTAAAAAAATTTTAACACTTGAACAATTTTCTAATTCTAAAACTCTAATGGTTAAAAATAAAAATATCTTGATATCGTAAAATTTTAAATCTGAGAATTCTTTATTTTATATCGACCATGAGATAAAGTATTTTTCGTAACTAGTAAACAATTTAAATAATAATACTTGTTTCATTTTAGATGGAATATGTACCTCGATAAAATTAAAATTGATGATATTCCAGTTACTTTGTCAAATACATTTATAAACAGTATACTGGTTAATCTGTTTGATAGTAAAAATTTCAACGCAACTGAAGCCGATAAAAAACTAGTATGATTTATAAACTTAAATTTGGTTTAAAAGGAACTTACTCTAATTCTTTTCCTCATATTTGGTGACACATTTTTTAAATATTTTTTTACTGTATAATATGTATTATATTACATAATTTATAAGTATGAATATTATTATATTTAAATAAAATTAAGAGCTGCTATTAAAGATAACTCATTTTTAATTCATTGTGTGTGTTAATGATTTTGAAGATTGTCGAAGAAATTAAAAATAATCATAAGAGGTTACAGTTCTCTCTTTTTCTGCAATACAAGGTTAAACAAAATCCCGAGAAATTTGAATTTGTGCGTTTACCGAATTTTGAATTTGGTCGTATAACAAGAAAACATGGTAACTACTCAAATTAAACTATAGAAAAATATCTATATTGTGTATGTTTTTACTTCATGTTTGAACAGCACGATTAAGAATTGAAATGATAAATAACACAGAACTTAGAATGGGCCATAATAGAAATCGATTGATTGCTTTACCTGAAATATTTTCTGCTCTTTGGTACTGTAACATAGAAAACATATTGGTAAGCAATACAAATTTGTTTTTAAAGAGAGAATTGAATGGTCTTTCACTTGTAACACTTGAGCAGTTTGAAAATTTACAGCTTCGAAATATTTTTAAAGTGAGAAATATTTTAATTAAATAATGTGTTAGCAGAATGATGTAATATTGATGACTTCCAGACTTTGAATTCGCTTAAAAGTTATTGGGTAAATGGAATTGTTAAAAAATGTCGTAGAGCTTTGCAGCATGTGAAAAATGGTTGGTTTGATATTTTTTCACGTGATAATGTAATTTTTGACTCGTCTTATCACAAACTCGGAAAATTCATAAAATTAATTCAGTTCATGATGGAAGTAAGACATTTTATTATTGTTATTTGTTTTCAAGTAAATTATGTAAGCGAGTAACATATTTTATATCGTATTCACAGAAACAGTTATACGCAATTTATATTAATTCAGCAAAAACGTATGCAGATTTAATAGAACAACCATGCGTTTCAATGAAAGATATTAATGAGGATTTTTCTTGGGGTAGTGATTTATGCAAAACATCTTTTGAAGAAATTACTGCTCCACCAATATTTTCCATTGTACTAAATATGAATAAATATGGGCCTTACTATATCACAGATCCAGATAGATTTGAAGTTTGTATACTTATACTGCATTACTTTTCATTCTAACTAAAGTCATAAAAGTTGAATATGTTATTACTTAGCAGTTATTATACATCTGGTAAAATAATTTATTTCGTATTCGTTTATCTAAATATTTTTTTTCGGTATTTAATTAGTTGTAATTAGTGTAACTGGTAAAAATAATGATTTATTGAATTTATGATAAAATATTTTGATATACTTTGAATTCCACAGACTGTGATTGTAAAATTATTCAATAAAGGGATTATAGAAAATCATGCAATACCTGCAATAAATCCGTTTTTATTAAGCTCGAAGATGAAGTTTGTTAATACAACCTATTTAATGCCAAAAAAATTGTTTTTGAGTGATATGTCTGAATTACTAATATCCATTGAAAATAATGTTCGTTTAGCTATAATTCCACTAAAATCGTACTGTAAAGAATTTATTGTTTATTTGACTTTATTTAACATAAATGTCCAATCATACGTAGAGTACGTTTGAGTATAAAATGTTATGACTTGCTTTTTTTGTGCAAAATATAATGTAAATAACATTTTGTGTAAAAGGGCATTTTTTTGAAGGCAATCCATCACTTATTCAAATAAAAGAAGAAATCACACGGCAGATTGAAATGAAGGAAATTTTAAAGGTGGAACTTCCCGAAACTATTACAATTGGCTTATTTCTCGTAAACGTTGAACCTCTGAAGAAAATATTGGTAGACAAACGGAACAATATGGCAAATTTAATTATGAGTACTCATGCCAGTAAAACGATTGATCAATTAGAATCGTGTTGTTCAGAGTTCAAAGGTATATACATAAGGCTCGGTGAAACTGCTGCATCAATAGAACAAGTGTTTGAAACGAGAGATTGGATTGACACACTGCCAACTATAATTGAAAATATATCGGCTATTGTAAAACGGTTATTCGTGGTAATCACCAAAATATATTATCTATTAATACACGTCTTTTCTTAATGGAACTATTCTTCACGATCGTATGTTATTATTCATAACTCTTAGGACTTGGATATATTGAATTCATTTTTATGGATAATAGATAAAGAACAATTTAAATTGAAGATTGATGCTCACATTTGGCCATATAAAATTGCTCTTAGAATTAAGGAAACGTTAGAAAATATAGGATTAGAAATTGAAAAATTTGAGAAAGTGCAATTAGAGGATGAAATTATATTACAAGATAAAATAGAATTCATTTCAAATGCTATATTAAAATTAACCATTGAAAATAATATATCAAAAGTATTTGAAATCGCCGTGGATATAAATAAAAATTGGAAATTGATAAGTGAACTCCATTCATTCGGTCAAGTGTTAAACCACAGACAAAAACTTTTTGGTCACACGGTCTGTGGAGATTATTTTTTTTTTGTTTTTATAGTAATTTACAATTACATTGGTTGTTAATTAGGTGACACCTTTTGAAAATATTGATAAACTAATTATTGAATTTGAACCATACAAGGAACTATGGCTTAGCTCTGCAGAGTTCTTAAAACTGCAGAGCGCAGTATTACAAAACCCATTAGCAAATCTTGAAGAAAGTTCTATAGAATCTAAATTTGATGAATTGTTAAATATTATTAGCAACTGTGTTGAACAATTAGCAGAAGTACCCGGTATTGATTATTTTCAATTTTTTAATTTTTATGCATAAATGTCATAACTATTACTTTTATTATATAATTTTAGGTACTCTAAGTGTAGCTAAGGAAATGAAAACACTAATTGAAGACTTTAAACCAATGATAACATTATTAAAATATATAATAAAACCAGGAATGAAGCAAAAACATTGGGATGCATTAGCCAACGAAACTGGTTAATTATTATTGTGTTACATATTTTAGTAAAATTGGTTTGAAAAAAAATAATTTTTAGGTGTAAAAGTTATTTTGGTTCCATCATTGACTTTTAAGAAATGTTTGGATTCGGGTGTTGCTAATTTTGTAGAACAGTTGAAGATAATTTCGAACAATGCTTGGGAAGAACACTTAATTGAAATGGATTTAAATAAAATGATGGAAGAATGGAATAACATAAAATTTGAGTTAATTCCTTATCAAAATACAGGAACATACATTGTGAAGTTATCCGATGAAGAAAAAAAAATGCTGGATGATCATGTGTTGCTTATTAAAAAGTTATTTATAAGTAAATTTAGAGAAGTATTTGAAGAACAATTGCCTGAATGGGAAGAAAATTTAAAACTTGCACAAGAATTAATTTCAGCCTTGAATGAATATCAGAAGTATAATAATTGTTTTTTTTTTTTTTATTTTAATATGGAAAGCATTTGACATTTGGTTCATTAGCCTGCAATTTAACTTATATTTACTTAATATTATTTATATACAATTTTACGTACAAGTGGTCTAAATAATTGTTTTTGTTAAGAAAAAATGTTAATAATTGCTGGTATGCTAATTATATTAATTCAATATTTGTAAATTAACATAACATTACAATTTATTTGAAATTTAAATATTATAGTTAGTCACTACTTAAAATATTTTATTTTAATCGGCGCGCCGCGGCGTGGAATTTGCTTATTTCTATTGAATTAAAATTTTAAAAACATTTTAGTTTTGTTTTAATATTATATTAAGTTATATTTGATGCATTATGCATTTGCTATTTACTTTATAAATAGTCAACACAAATACATACACATCGGCTCATTTAAAATTATTTGTCTTAGAAAATTGGTGGAATTAATTCCTTCGTTTAATAGAACAGACATTAAAGAAAATTTACCTATTGAGTTTAAGAAGTTTGTCCTAGCAGAACAAATATGGAAATTAGTAATGAAAACCGTTCTGAGTAGGCCTTTGGTAAGATTTCATTCGTCAATATAAATAACCTATGAACTATATATTTATGCTATGCAAATTACGAATATGCGCTAAAAGCAAAACTATGTCCAAAATTCTTTTTCAAACTTAAGTTCTTAATTTTTAAAATTTTAACCAAACAAAAAAATAAATAAAAACAAATGTAGGTACACAATTATAAAATTATTATGTAATATAATAATAATAATAATAATATTTATAATTATTATACCTACTGTTATTATAATATTATATTGTATACAATTATATGTCATTATAATTATTATTTATTTTATAATATTCACCATATTCAAAAATCGAGGTTATAATGTAATATCTATAATATTTATGAATTGTTTTATAATTTACTTTTTAAACCATCTATTTTATATCATATCACTGCAATAACTTAATGTAGTTTCGTCGATCAATGTATCGATGGTTGTGTTATAATACATAGGGTTTATCTGGAATAGTTTTTAATTAACTTGAATAATTAAGTATATTAAATACTTTGCTAACAAAGAAAAATAAATTACATTTTTTAAGCAACCTGCCTTTTCATAATTTGCAGTACGCATATTTTATCTATATAGGTTATGTTCAATATTTACCAACACTTTTATTTTTATATAATCTACATAAATTTAATTTGATAAAATATACTTATTTAGGTGATGAAGATTTGTAAAAATCAACAGCTTATGGAGAAAATCTACAACGGCTATAATCTCTTAAATGTAGCGCAGAGTAGATTGTCAATTTATCTAGAAACAAAAAAAAACCGATTCTGTTCATAGTACTCTTAGTACATAAATTGTTGAGTTCCATAATACATTTGGATTTATGTTTTTTATTTTTATACTTGTAAATTTAAATCATATAAGAATTCAATCAAATAATTATTTAGTCAATAATTAATTGTATATCTTTGTTTCATGTTCGACCTAGAGAAGTTTGTTTAAGACTTTCAACAAAAGAGTGTTTATTATTAAATTTATTTTAAATATTATACATTTATATCGATATTAATATTTAATATTGCTATTACTTTTATTTAGTAGAAACTATTGAATTAATAAAGTGAATTATAGTTTAATTATATATATAGATCCGAACCCTACTCATAATATACATTATTTAAATAATTCTTATTTTTAAAATTTTAGATTTTTATTATTGTTATGAACACAAACTACTATCATATACACAAGCAAAAAAAAAAAAAAACCTCAGCCAGAATCTAAAATTGATATAAAATGTAGGTAAGTAAGTAAATTATAATAAAATTATCCCCCTTCCTCCATGTGTATATTAACAAACTGTAATCAATAAAATTTGAGAAAAATGGAAAATTTCAAGTGCTTGTAAACAACACACAATTTGCATTATAATATATATGATATATTTCGAAAGTTATGAAATGTATATAAAATGCTAATTATAAGTATTTAGTAAATATTTCAAATCGTTACAATTAATATATATATATATATATAGAATCACAACCAAATAATTACTATCGTATAATCGAAATTCGTTTAAATATTCTATTTTGTCAAAATTTAATTTTCTTACTTTCATATAATTAATCTTTGAGATTTACCTATAAGAGAAATGTAAGAGAAACTTTGTATTGCACTTTTTGCCAACCAAAATAATTATTCACATTTTAAAAGAAAAAAACTTAGAAAAAGTGAAATTTTCAAAAATCTACAAATAGTTCAAAAAAATTAAAAGCCCTTTACTAATTTTACTATTTGTAGTAAATAATAACCATAAAGTAAAAATATCAAATTTTTATGATAATTATTTTTTTGAAATATAAAGAACAAAAATTCGATTTTTTTTTTTAACTTTGTATGCTATACATTTTATTATTTTAAAAACAAATTTCAGTTTCTTGTAATTTTTAATAAAACTATTAAGAAATTTAAAAAAAAAATGATTTTCTAAGGTTTTCTATCCATTACTTCTATGATATATGATATGATAATAGGATAAATTCTCTTTGTTACGTATATTTTCTGAGAATATTTCAAATCTGTCGGATATTAGAACCATGGCCCACGGGAAAATAAATAAGAAAAATAAAAATTTACAAATTATTATTGAAAGTCGACTATAGTAGCGAACGTTCCTCGTAATATACAGCTGGATCGTTCCTGCCATATTGTTATAATGTATTATCTACAACTCATGGAAGCAAAATTATTATAAATTACATTTAAAAAATAAACAAATTTACGGTCTGAAATTTTAACTAACAAGTACCTGTAAAAAGAAAAAATATAGTTAATACTATAAGGCACGTGGCCAATGGCCAATTTCATTTTTATAACATGAAATGGTTATTGAACAGTTTTTCACTTTAATGCCCGTTATTATATGAATTGGTGATAATTAATATTGACTGTAAGGCGCTTAATGTTCTAATGAATTATATCAGTGCCTCGCAAGTTAGTGAATAACAATTGATATACTGTCAGTCTTTTGATTCCTATATAACATGAAATTCTATTAAAAATAGTAGTATACGGTTACAAATGACAAAGGTAATGAAAATATCGTGTTTATGACACAAGTTCATTATAAATTCGATTATAGATCCGTGTATAATCAATTAATTATGTTAATTTATAACTGTAGGTATCGGTACGGGTCAATAGTTTAGTTTTATTGTTACACAATATAAAATACAAAATTTACTCATGTTCAGGTGCATAATTAATAGCTGTTACATTTTAACATTGACATATTCATTTTTCAACTTTTGAGACTAATCAGAAATATATTGGTTTAACAATGAATCTTTTCCAACTATCGTAATTTTAGATAGTAAAGCCACTTAGCCACTCCAAAAGTTTCATATCGCATAACTTTTTTGATTTTTATAAGTTTTTTTTTTTTTTTATTAGAAAGCTTTGCCTATAAATTTAAATAAATTTTGTTCTTCGAAAAATAAATGGGGCTTGGAATATAATGTGTTTTGTATTTTTTTATTTGAAAATTTTTAGACAATGCTTTCTTAGCTAAAAATTTGTTTCAATAGCACATGAATGTAAAATAACTTATTTTATTTTACATTTTTTAGTCAACAAGTCATTTTTGACATTTTATGTCATTTTTCCACATTTTTAATCACTTTTATTCATTTTCGACTAATTTATAGAAAATTAACGTATTTATTAAAAACTCTCTATTAAATCATATCTAAAATTTTGGAACATTGAGAAATTCTATAATTCAGAAACATTTGGACTTAATTTTCACCATTTGATTGACATTGTACAAAATATAAAAAATAAAATTCAACAAGCAGAAAATAATATACGACAAAATATTAAACAAAAATTAAAATCCGTGTTGGAAAAATACGAACTTTAAAATAATAATAAAAATTTGAAAATTTATAAATGGTCGAAATTACGAAAACTTTCCTACTGTATACTTATTATATTTACCATATTCTATATACTTACTTAATACTTCTGACTTGACTAATTTTAAATTTGTGCCGATTAAACAAGTAGACTTAGACAGGGCCGGATTAACCTAGGTGCAAAAGGAGCATTTGCTCCAGGGCGACAAATTTAGTGGGCGGCATAAATAAAAAGCCTCAAAAAAATGATTTAAGATCGTCATTAATACAAAAAAAAAATGTCCAATTTATCAATTTTATTTGGATTTAGTTAAGGAAATGAAAGATAAGAACTAACATAAAAACTTGCAACTATTAAATTCATAAAAAAATATAATTAAAAAAAAATAAATAATTTATAATATATACATAGTTATATGGTTACAATTTTTTTTTTTTTTAATTGGCGTTAATATTAAAAATTACTTTAATTATTATCTGTATATTTTGAACCAATTATAATGACTCATTATTTTCCATTAGTTTAAAAAAGTTCTTTGCAAAACTATTCAGTAACATTTAACATATACTTATTTATACTTTTTAGTTTAAGTCGATTAATTATAATATTAGGTACCTATATTTTATAATATATATTTATAAGTAGTACTTTATTTTTTAATTTTTACATAGAAACCAGGATTTTTTTTTCTCACTTAAACTTTATTTCTTTGAGGGTGAATTGGGGAGCAAACATTATTTGCTCCAGAGCGGCATCGGCCCTTAATCCGGCACTGGACTTAGAACAAAGTTTCTCAAATTATAAGAATTTACTATATTTTAATCGCCAATCATTAAATTTATAAAATATCGAGCATACCTACACTAATTATTCGATAAAATACATTTGATAAGGTTTTTATTTTTTAATTACTTCTTTATGATATTGACGTTTTATATTTAAATTACAATTTTTAACAAGATTAAAAAAAAATATATATAATAAAAATATGTTTAATATTTGTACATTTTTACTAAATAAAACGTACACTCTGTTTCGCTATTGACGGGTAAATACGTCAAGTGTCAGCCCCGATCTATTTAAAACTTTTCATTTTGCCTTTAACGATAACTATTGTAGTTTACGACTCAAGATATCGGCTAACAACGGATTTTTCCCTGGGCTCGTGTAGAAAAACCGAGCTCTCTTCACTTTTATTTCATCCGCCGTCCAGCCAACGTACGAACGAGTAGTCGCCAGGTCGTTCCGATGCGGACCTATGGATGGCTCCACGGAGAGAGACATGTACGTACATCGGATGCCTACAGCGGTAATGTATTTTTATTTGATTATTTTTTATTTCGGCCGGTGATATTGTTAAAACAATATGTATTGTTGCATTTTATTAGCCATTATCAGGGCTAGGATTTGTATGCAATAAAAAATTGTAAAATATACATTTTATTTACCAAAATATGCAAAAATATGCATTTAAGTTTTTATAAGATAAACACAAAAATATAGTTACAAAAAAAATATTTATATATTGAAATACATAAGTTTTTGGCTGTTTGTCTTAATATATTATAATTCAGAAATAATATTAAATTAAATAGTTTAAAATAAAATTTATTTTTGACAAAAAAACCAAGTTTTATAATTTAATAAGCCAGTCTAGAATTAAATACGAAATATTAATATAAAATTATTAATATTAATTACGAAATATACTATAAAACATTTATTTTTCGCATTCTTATAATCGAAATATGCAATGTATGCAATAATATGCATTTTATCTAAAACATGCAAAAACATGCAAAATAAAAATACAACCATTTTTCTCATCGTGAGGTGATTCATGGACATTACAGACAAATCCAACAATCAGAAGTCGCAAAAAAAATATGCTGTTGCATACAAACCCTAGCCCTGGTCATTATTATTTATTAATATGGTAATTGTAGTCCGATGTACCCGAACAAGATCTCTCGTATTCGTTATCTTTATCATTTTATTTAATTTTATTTTATTAATATAAAGTGGGCCTTTTTATCCCCGTCTCCTAACGTATATATTTTGTCTTTTGACTTTCATTTTTTTTTTTTTTGTCCAAGTTTTATTACGTCTATCTTCAATGAGGAGGCACTTCTGCCTTGTGTGAATAATATGTACATTGGAACCTCGGAGTTTCTGTATACCTAATTTTTTATTCAGTCCCGATCATTTGGTATTGGACTTAAGTGTTACATTATTTCTGTATATTGGATTTTTCTATATGTCGAAGTCATCATCCGGTACCCAACGCCTATTACGATTCACTAACTCGAATATATGACAGATTAGATAAAGTATAAAATGCTCAGACTATAAAATATAAGTAAACGACAGTAAACAACGTTGTAATATTGTTGATATTTAATTATAGTTCAGCTAGT